TGGTTAATATGTCTCATATGTCTCTTAGTCTTATGTCTCATCCTGCATCTCATCTTGTGCCCCTTCCTCTTCTTTATTTTTAATTTAAACAAAAGAATAACAATCACTGCCAAAGACTCCACAGACAAGGGTTAAAGAATGAAAGGCAACATATCAGGAAAATAGAAGCTAAATTGATGTGGCCATTCTGATAACTAATAATGTAGAATTAATATTAAAGTTTATTGGAAGACATAGAAAAGTCAATTAAATATAAGGAATTAATGAAAAATATATCAGAAAATATATCCTACATATATAGGAATTGCTTCACAAATCAAACACAAGTGAATATAGAAGGACATTTAGATCTGGGTGTGATAACACACACCTGAAAACCTAACACTATGTAGGCAGATCAAGGGAAATGCTGCAAGTTGGAGGCCAGCCTAGGCTGCATAACAAGATCCATCCCAAAGCAAAAACCAAAGTGTATTCACTACTGGATTCTATGAGATCATCAAAGAAGAGTTAGCACCACCACTTCCTCAAATTGTTCCACAAAATAAAAGAATTGCATTGACTCTGCAAACTACTTTACATAGTACAGCAATTTTCACATTATTATTTCTGTCTGTCTCTTAGTATGGAAGATATTTCCATCATCTAGGGTCATATTCAATTTGTTTTTATAGTGTCTTAAAGCTTTCCTTGTTAGAGGTCATCTACCTCTTTGGTTTTTTTTTTTTTCCTAGCTATATCATTTTTAAGCTATTATAAGTAAGCTATCTTTCCCAACATTTTCTCACCAAGTTTGTTGTTGGTGTATATAAAATCATTCTATGTATTGATTGTGTATCAGGCAACTTTATTGAAAGTGTTTATCATACTTAAAAGGTTTTCTGGTTGACTCTGTGGGGTATTTTAAGTGTAGAACCATGTCATTTATAAATAAGCAAAGATAATGTCTTACTTTCTTTTCATCTACTTTGTATCTCTCTCTTATTGCTCAAACAGAAAACTTTATTGCTGTAGTCAATAAGAGTAAAAGAGTTGTCACCTTTGTCTTGTTACACATGTTAGAGGTGACACTCAATTCTCCCTATCTATGCATTTGTCATATGTGAAACTTTTATTATTTTGAGGTATGTTCCATTTACCCTTTGCTCTTCAATACATTTTATCATGAAGATGTTGTACACTGGCAGATACCTTTTCTACATCTCTTATGGTGATTATGTGATTATGGTGATTATGGTGATTATTTGCCATTAAGCTTATTAATATTGTATATTTCATGTTTGATTTGCACATTGTGATAGTTTTATATTTTATTTATTCTTTTAAAGGCCAAATTGCCACAACTTCTAGCCAATTTATCAGGGATCCTCAGTTGTGGGATTTTCTTGATTTCTTTAATTGATGTAGGCAGATCCATCCCAAATGTGAGTGGCACCTTCTGCTGGCAGTCTAAATTAGAAAAGTAAGTGGGGGGAAGAAGAAGGAAGAATATTGCCAAGTTTGCTTTTTGCTCACTTGGTTTTCCCTTTTATTCCTGAGTTAATTTACCATTTTGCAACTGCTGCTGATTTCTTTGCTGATGTTAGGACAAGTTTTCCAGGATTCCATCATGGACTGAGGACCAGTGGATCTCCAGGACCCCTCCAAGTTTCAGCTCCAGATTGAGACTGGTGGGACACCCAGCCTTGTGAACTCACCTCTTTTGTGTGAGACAGCCATTGTTAGACTACTCTAACTGAGGCACCTAGACTTATAGACTAAGCAACTACTGAAAGCTTAGTCTCTTAGGTGTGAGACAACTATTTTTGAAGTATTTAAACCATACTGTGTAAGGTGATTTAGTAAACCGTGGTGTGTGTGTGTGTGTGTGTGTTCTATTCTGTTTCCTCTAGAGACTCCTAACTAATGTCAGCACATACTGAATCAAACTTGTCTCTCACAGCTAGAAACAACTTTGAAAACAATATATGGTGTTAATGTAATCTCGAATTCAGATTGCAATTATTTTATAGCTTTTTTTGAGTCTGTGTTCACCAGAGAATTGGTCTGTAGCTCTTTCTTGCTTGGTAATAAAACATAAAACAGCAATTTAATAGTCATGTAGGACCCATACCTTTTCTTACCAGTTGTTGTATAACTAAGAAATTTTACTCCCTTTCAAAACATATATATATATATATATATATACAGAGATCCTCCTGCCTCTGCCTCCCGAGTGCTGGGATTAAAGGCGTGCACCACCAAAAACAGGCATTTTCTATATATTTTATATCATGGTTTTCTACATTTTTGGAAGAATGTTTTCTAAGCTTAAGAGACTCTATAAAATAGCTATGTGAACCTAAAAAGTCCCATTGGGATATTCCATCTTTTGATAGAGTTAGGAATATGAACCAATACCTCATTTTTCCCAATATAAAAGTGTTAAATTTGGCCCATGTAGCAGATGAAAAACTAAAAGTATTTACCACGTGATATGGAAGTAAAACATCATCTCATCACAGGTACATTTCTCTGTGAAAAACTGAAGAACAAGCTGAATGCAAACTAGTGGTAGTCATGTTTAGATACACATATGAATCCACAAACACATTGGCAGCATGCACAAGACCTATACAGGTTCAATCCAGATGAAATCCCAGTGCAGGGCAGAGGACATGGATACAAAGTCCCAGCCCTAACCAAGGAGCTATTCAAAAAGGGAAAATTAGTTTTCCCCAATGGAGTGACATTGGGTATATCAACTACACTGTAGGTCAGGCCCCATGACCAGGAGTTGTTGGCCAACAAAGTCAATTACCCCCGTGTGTGTGTGTGTGTGTGTGTGTGTGTGTGTGTGTGTTTCTTGTTTTGGCCTTTTTATCTTACTGTTTGTTTTGATACTTGCTCCTGTGGGCTTTTTTTCCCCCTTTTTAAGAGAGAAAGAGAACATAAAATTGGATAAAACTGGGTAGGTGGAAGGTGGGAAGGATCTGGGAGGAGTTGAGGGAGGTAAAAACACAATCAAAATTAAAAAGGAGTAAAAGGGTCGGGCATTAGTGGCACATGCCTTTAATCCCAGCTCTCAGGAGGCAGAGGCAGGCCAATCTCTTGATTTCGAGGCCAGCCTGGTCTACAGCGTGAGTTCCAGGACAACCTCCAAAGCAATACAGAGAAACCCTGTCTCAAAACAACAACAACAACAAACAAACAAACAAAACCAAAAAGGAGTAAAAGGTAGAAACTAAATGTTGAATGTCTTTGTTTTTCATTTTACTAATATGCTGTGATATGCAGTGCATAAATTAGTATGTTCTTTTTATTTATTTATTTATTTATTTTATTAAATTATTAATATTTTCACATTTTTTTTATTAAAACTTCAGGTTATGTAACAAAGAAAAGTTCAGGGTACTAGGCAATGCCATTCAATGCAGTTCTCATTTCCATCATTGCCACAATCACAGCACCCCTTGTCCTCAGTCCATGCTCATATACTCTGGGCAATGTTGGTGAGACACCTTACCATCAAAGATCACCTCCAAAACTGATACGAGGGAAGTAGGTCTGGGAATGTTGCAGCTTTGTCTTTTACATTCATTGTGAAGTCCTCTGTGCTCCTCATGGTTTACTTTCCTCTTTGTTTTCACTTGGTCACTTCCTCCATGGGTATATTTGATCTGCAGCCCACTTGCTTATCACTGTTCTTACTCCTCTAAGGAAACCAGATAAAATCAAATAAATACAGAGGTGACCAACAACTAAATTAACCTCATTCAGCACATCAAGATGGTGCTGCTGGAAATTCTGCAACTTGGGCCACACCCGAATTATGGGATGTAGATGCTTTTACAACCCATATTATAGAAAGGAAAATGGAAAGCCCACCATCAGAATAAGCTGTAATGTCCTGTCCCTCAACTGGCTCACTTCTTTAAAAACTCTCACTAGAAAATTATTTTAACCATCCCCATATATACTTTTGTTTAACTTAACACGTATTGAAAACCCATTTCTGTAATTATTTGCCTTATAAACATGAAAGCGTTGCATAAAACATCAATATCTCCTTGTCCTCTTCTCTTGTTATGATTTGTCACTAATAAGATCTGCTTCTCTTTGTTACAGGGCCTGTTGATGGTCCTCATGCATTCACCTCAGCCAATTTTAGAAAACATGTGTGTGAAATGATGGCATTCTCTTCATAAAGTGGTTTTAAGGTGATGTTAATTGATAGATTCTTATTTGCCCCAGTTCTGTATTTTATTGTAAATTAAAACATTCCTTCAATAGATGTAGCTAGCAGATACTGCCTCCTTTTATGGTACAGTTTAACAATATGTAATGTTCTGGAAATCCACAGAGCATAAAAATAGCTTTCCTTTGTTATCACTGGAGAGTTTTCTAATTTATTCTTCTTATTAAATTTCTTAGAAAAAGTGAAAGAGTGAAATTTGTGAATTATCCTGTACTCTCACGCTCTTTGCACAGTAGAATGGCACATTAACACATACTTTCAAATAAGGTATACAGTCTTAAGAACTTTATGCAAATATTTATGAAACAATATTAGCAATTAGATGAAGTTAATGAAGACTGCAAACAAGGTTGAATAAGCTAATGTTGCTAATATAGGTGGCGAAGAGGGGTATGTAAATATGGATTTTGCTTGTCTACTTCTGCTTGGTGACTAAGCCTTTAAATAACTTCCTCCTCAAACATATTTATTAAGGTTATTTAAATAAAAACATGTTCATTGAGCCAATATATTTCCTTAAACAGATGTCTCTCAAGAACACCAAGCACATAGTTGCATCATCAGTCGCGTTGGTGTGTATGAGCCACTTACAATGAGATGCGTTGAATAATCAGCCTTCGGATGCTGCCACCGCCTGCATGAAGGGATGCAGGGCATGCGCAGAGCTGTTAGAGCAGCTCTCACGAGACTGGCTGTTAGGGGCGTTGCCACTGAACTCATGGCCACACGATACAGGCACCACTACAGACAAGTGTGGTTTGCGATGACTCCCATCATGCTGTTGGTGCAGCCTAGTCAGAGGCCGGAAGGCCGAACATATGCCGAGTATGAATCCGTGAATGAATGCATGGAAGGCATCTGTAAGATGTTTGAAGAACACCTGAAGCGAATGAACCCCCTCAGCCAGTCCATCACGTATGGCGTCAGTCAGTTGTTTGAGTTTATCGACCGTCTGGTGGACCTCAGCTGCCTGGTGCTCCGAGAAGATACTCAGACCTACAAGTCGTACACCCGAGAGTGGATCAAAGAGAGGATCTATGTGCTCCTTACTCAGCAGGCACAACCAGCTGGGTCATAGTGATCAGGAAGCTTCCGGGACTGGGGCCGGCTTGGACCACAGGTGTGTGTGGTGATCACTTGGACCCATACCCCCCCTTTTTTTTTCTTCTTTCTGTTATGTGTTGGATGATATCTGGGCCTCTTTTTACTCTGAAAACTCCATTGCCCTTTTCACTGATTTTTCTCTTTAGCATAATTTCATGATTCTATAGATGGAAATGTTTCATGTCTGCTTTATAGCATTCATTATGCCAACTGTTCGAGGTATAAGGGGCTAGTGACACTGATAAATGATGCTCTCTAGATAACTTAGTGAAAATAAGGTTCTTTAGTTACGAGTTTAAACAGGATGGCAGGGGTATCGGAAAGATTCTTTTTGGCAACAGATTTTAGAGGCTTCTCTCATGGTGACTTGACTCTATTTTTCATGTTCCTTGTGAGGCAGAACAGGATGGTATCATAAGGAAGACTCTGGGAGCAATCACCTCATAACTAGCAGGAAGCAAAACGTGTTGGGGATGCTCAAGGTGTAATGTAAAAAGTCATCAACCGGTGATCCATAACTCAGAACTTAGGTGTCAAACATCACTAGCAGCTATGAGCTTGGAGAAGTGGGTTTCAAATTCATATCATAAAATACCACCTGAGTTTATATACCACGTTGATTGTATTTTAATAAGTATTAAATAAATCTAACAAATGTATTTTTCATGTCCTTACATGCATACAGATAATATGTGGACAAAAGAGATCAATGAATTTAATTATCATTATTATTTCTGGTCACGATGGAACCCTGCATTCCCTTTATTTTACACATCCCAAGATCAGAATAAATGAGTTGCACTTCTCAATTTCTGGCATTTTTTAATTGACTGGTAAACATTTGTCTCTTTTGAATCATAAACAAGGTTTTATAATAACCTTATGATTAGTGAATGACTTTTCTCTCCTACATCAAAGTGGGGATGCAAAAGAATGTGGATGTTAAGCACATTAGAATATGACCTCTCTAGTGCTAATTAAATTAGCTAACAGTTTGAAAAAAATACACACATAATTTTCTGATGATTGACTTCTGAGATAGCTGCAGCAACCCCAAGGTACTGTTGTTGCTATCAGCCGCCATTTTGCAGATGGAAAAGTAAATCTCACAGAACACAAAATGTTCAGTCATAACTTTTTATTAAAGCTTAAAAACAAATTCTTAATATTTTATGTGTTTCTCATCATTCTTTTACTTTATTCATCTATTATGTATAAGATTTTATGTTTGGGAAAGTGGCTATTTTTCTATTTGTAAATAATGGTGTCCATGGGATACTATTAAATGTAGATATGGAGCATGATGCTAAGGTATTTCATTATCTAAATTATGCTGCTGGACACTGAAATGAGGCATTCAGTGACCTACTTTGGTTTCTGTTCATCGTTTGGTTTGTTTCCACTCATGTAATTCTGAAATTGAACTAGCATATAAATGTCACCTTCAGTTATGATTCATTTAAATTGATATTGGCACTTTTTAACATTTCATTTTAATTTGCGTTTGTACATTTGTGTAGGCACATACACCCCATGGTAGGCTTTTTGGGAATGAAAACAATTGCAGGAGTCAGTTCTTCTTACCACTTAGTGGACTCCAGGGATTTAACTTGTGTCTTCAGGCTTAGCAGTAAGTGCCTTAACTAGCTGAATTATCTCATTGCCCCCAAATTAAGATGTTTCAAGAGATAATATCATGTACCAAAGCCAAAGTTGCTTTGTAGCTGGTAGTGAACCTTGAACATCAGGTCCTCTTCTTCTTAGCTCTCTTGTAGTAGTGGGATTACAAGTTTCCACACAATCCTGCATTATATAATATTCTGTATTGAACCCAGAGCTTTGTCATGCTAGTCAAGCACTGTACCATAGCCATCCCTTTGACTTATACAAACAATATCCTTTAAAGGAAGAATAATATTTAAAATTCAGTACTGCCAACTGTATTTTTTTGTGTTATATTCTACGGGATGTTGTTGTACTTTGGGATAAGTAGAACAGGGAGCACTAAGTATAACTCAAACTAAGCAACAACACTAGGACACCTGGCAAATGAATGTCTGCAAGGCAATGTTTTGTCATTATCTTTCTAAATTCAAATACCTTATAAACAAAAAGAAAGATAGTACTTGTGAGAGCTACAATAAGAAATGTCTGGGCTGAACAGACTGAAACAACAAAGATTTAAAATAGTGCACAGTTAGCAAATTGCTTGACTTCGGACTCTGGAATACTTGTTAAAAAAAAAAA